TGCAGGAGGGTGATATTGCACGTTCAGAGCCGGCTGACGGCACGGTACATCTCCTGGGGGCTTAGGGCTGACTTTTATGAAGTGAGAGCAAATTCTTAAATTCGTTCTATTATTTCAAACATGTGGGAAATCCGTAAAAAGTAAGTTTCTTTCCTACAAAACAGCGTCATCTATGTGACTTTGCCTTAAAAACTATGAAAAAGCCAGCTTTTCACTTAGATTGTTTTTGTTCCAAATCTGGGGAAAACATAGAAACTCTTGAAATACAGTCATCAAAACCAAAAAGGGGTTATTCCTAGGAAGGATGCTTCGTGCCTGCGTGCAACAGGGCAGATCAAGATCAGCCTTGTAAGATGAGCTCCTGCATTCAGCTGATGTAATCCGAATTGTAGCAGGCAGGTTTACTCTTCTCCTTTCATGTTTTAAACAACTGGCCATGGTGCAGGTCGGGCACACAGCCCCCACCGCCCCGTGCGGGGACCGATCCTGGGTGCTTAGTGCAGCCATCATGAAATTTTAACAAAACATTTTTCAGTAAACTGGGCCCCACGTGTTGGAAGGGGCAGTAGTACTGAGCTGCTTTCTTTTACTTATGAATTGTCTGCTACCAGAAAATTAATTTTTAAAATTCCCATCCACAGAAGCAGCGGCGGAGCCCAGCACTGATGGTATGCTGGGATCCCCAGCAGCCACCCAGACAGCTTGGTGCTTTTAATAGCTGCTTTCAGTTGTAGCAAGGAATAGTGTTCACGGGTTTCAAAACATTCACTTCTTTTTATTTGTTTCTTTTCCTAAACTGATTGAAGCAGAAAAAATTCTTGACAATTTTTTCTAATGTTTTGACAGAGCTAAAAGCCCAAAGAGTTTTGCCGGCCATGGAAATTTTTTTGTTTGATCATTTCACTCAAATTTTGACTTTTTACCTTCTGTGCTACATTTTGCTAAGATTGGCTTTAAATCTTAAAAGAAAAATCCTCTGTTAAACCAGCAAATTGGAACTACTCATTCTTAATGCATAACTAAATAGATCAGTCTTAAAAAAATGAGTCAAAATACTTGCTAACACAAGGTGCTTTCCAGAAAATGTTTGATTACAATCTCTCACCATTTTCTAATGAAAAACCCACATTTTGTTTTAAAAAAACCCTCGTTTATAGTTCTTATCAGCCAGCTTGTATAACGCAGTGGCTGCCCGTGGCTGGAGCATGCTGCAGCCCTTGCTGGGCACGTGTGACATGGGCTGGGTGTGAAGGAGAAGGAGAAGGAAAGGATGCTGTGCCTGGTTGGGCACCTTGGAGCCAAATAACATTGCAGCTGGGATCTGAGGGTGATCCTCGTGCGAAAGACCTGCTGGGTTTGTGTGTGCTCAGCAAAAGGAGAGTTTTCTAGCTAGCCTCGAGCTTCTGTCGCAATCAGACACCCATGCGGGAGCGGTGAGGTCTCCTAATTTTGCCTTGCCAACAATTAGTCTTCCTTAATGATTAATGCTACTGCGTTTTCTCTTTGCTCATCCAATTACCTCTAGTTATTAAAGTCACTTCTTGGCCTCAAAACGGCAGCTTCTTCCCTCACAGTTTTGGGTTGTTTTTTGGGTTTGTTTTTTTTTTTTAATTATTTTCAGGGAGGTTGGTGGGGGCTGATGAACGCCGGTCTGGCGATGCACGCTGGTGTCGGTGCCTGCCCCAGTGCCGAGTGGCACCGACCCGAGTGGGCATCACTCGCCGGGGAGGTGGGCACTCAGGAGAGTTGCAATTCAGCAAATTTGAGAGGGAGAAAGGTCCCCCAAGCTTGCAAAACCCTTTCTACTGCTCCGTCCGCTCTGGAAATACCGTTCTGGTGTTGCTGTAAATGCGCCTCTTCATTTCTGTATCGAGGTTGTGGCTGCACGGCTCATTCCCCAACCTGCCCTCAAAGGGCTGTGCTGGGAGAGGTGAGACAGAGCCGTCCTCAGAGCCCTTTCGTGTCCCCCCGCGGCTGCTGAAGGACCCGAGGTGACTTGGGGTGACTTGGGGTGGGGGCTGCGTTATTTTGGGTGGGTGGGTAGCCAGCTGCTCCGTCACTGCTGCTCCGAGCTGTATGGAAACACGCCTTTGGGGAGGAGGTGCAATAAGGAGCTTCACCAAACCGCAGCACATCCCCATGATGTCCCGACCAGCACCAACCCGTGTCCTCCCAGGGGACCTGCCGAGAGGACACCAAACCAACTGCCCTCGTGTTAAATCAGTCCACTCGGCAGAAAACATTTACATCAGGGTAATTTTACGGTGTAAGACATTGTCAGCTGATAAGTTCTGGCCATGAGAAGCCTCTTCAGGGTTCATGTGCTGCAGCTGATTGGCAGGAAGTAAATCTAGACCTTCTGAAAAGGAGGAATTGATACCATTTCTCTGGCATATAAATTTCTATAAACGAGGTATAATTTCACAGCAAAGACACGTTCGGTAGCCACAGCACATCTGGTGAAGACCAGGACCTGCAGACATGGTCATGGACCGCGACCATCAGTAGCTGAGGTGTTTAACCAAGGGATCTACTCTGAAGGAGTCTCCTCTGTTTCTCCAGATCTCTGTGCAACTTCCTTCTTCCCTTGGTTGGTTCAATGTGGGAGACGGGTTCCTGTAACAAACTCCCTAATGGAGGAGGCAGGAGGGGGATGAATAGCCTCTTGCAGAAATTTTTGTCTTAACTCCTTCCTGAGCATCCTTCCCCACCAGCTTTTCATGACTTTAAAGAGTAGGAGAAAAGGTTTTGAGTGAGGCAAGTAGAAGTGTAGAAGGGAGCTGGGGAAGGCCACCTCTTCATACTGATGCAACATCTTGTTTCCCATCTGAACTGATGGAAAATCTGAGTAACTGAGCTGCAATCTGTTGTACCACCAAGTTACCACGTTCTGCTTTGATGGGGAAGAAGGACAGTCCGTGCCCTTGCTGTAACCACACGTGCTCTCTGCTTTTCACTGTTGAGGTATCCTGTGGATCAGCATCAGGACCGTTCAACTGCCTTTGTAGTGGTCTGTGTCTTCTGTCACTGCTCCAAAAGCTGTTAACCGTCGTCAGGCAGCGTGGCTGGCTGGTGGATGCTGCTGTGCTTTGGATCAGGCATGGTGTAAATGGGAAGGAAAGATCTGCCCTGCTTTGAACAGCAGAAATGCTGAAGTTGAGGTTTTCAAATCAGCTCTGCATCGAGCTTGTTCTGCTCCAGTGTCATGTTAAAATGTACACGTAGAGCTGCATATCTCTAATTTAGGCTTTCTGGCTCTTAAATAAGCTAAACCATAGCTAATTTTAGAAATATCACTGAACAGCTATTCTTCATCTCATTTCATGGGCAAGAATAGTAAAAGCTCAGAGCTCCAAACATGTGTTTAACTAAGCAGGAGCCAGCCCACCACTGCTCTCAGTGGGAAAACCACATAGCCCATGGCCCTGCTGCAGGACGGGAACGCCTGTACCACACCAGTTGGGTACAGTTTGGAGGGGGGTTACATTCCCAGTACCCTGCTGTGTGCAGTAAATCTACACCTGGTAAGCATCAGGAATTAGGGTTTTCATTCATTCTTAAATGCAAACCTGCATGCCTCTTGGATTTTATTTGCATAAGCAAACCTTTGTGGGAAAGACAGATGTAAAGCAGCGTCTCCATCGGTCTGTTTTCCTTTCCGCTCCATGGGTTTCCTCCTCGGAGCAGCAATGCAAAACACAGGACTCGCCCAGGGCTCTCGGGTTGCTTTGCAAGCAGCTCGGAGCGGCAGGGAGAGGTCCAGGACAGGTCCTCCAGAGCCATCGGCTCCGGCTGCACCACCTCCACCAAAGCCAACTGGCGTTTCGTGCTCACTCTGCCTGAGCAAAATCATTACCAGAGTGAAAGACACCAGTGAATCAAGTCCAGAGATCATAAATGACTTGTCAAAAGTCACACAGCAAATCATCTGTAGATGTCCTGGTGGGACACAAGACATCTGGCTAGCAATACCTGGCTCCTAGCCCCTGGAGAGCTGCCTTACCTGGTCCGTTCTCATTTCCTCCCCGTTCTGGGGTGCTGTCAGTCCTGTTTCTCTTTCTGGATTTATCTGGGACAAATCCTAACATTCCACCACCAAGGCGAAGTCAGTTTGGGTTTAAAGGCAACCATGGGCGAAACTGGGCATGTAGGGAGCAGCTTGAGACGCTGGAGGCGAGAAGGCTGGCAGCAGACAGCAGCGTGTGCGTGTGTGTGTGTTTTCCTTACAGCTCTTTTGAACAGGTTCCCCTCTCTCTGCTCCAACACGCAGAAGCACTCCCTGTTGCGTTCACAAAAAAGCGCCTTTTACAAAGATGTTGGGCTCCAGTGGCCTCGCCATGTGTAACCAGGAGTAGCTGCAAGAGGGGATTGGTTTTTTCTTTTTTCAAATTTCCCTGGGTTTGTTGCATCCCCAGTGCTGCCTCAGCTCCCTCCAGTCCTCTCCCAGCGCTGGAGCTGGGACTGAGGGGGACTTCAGCCCGAGGACTCACTGGTGACCATGTCACATTTTCAAAGTCATTGCCCTCAGCATGGCCTTCCCTGCTTGAGAGCCCCGGTTAGGAAAGCCCAAGCGTGGCTTTCAGAGTGAGTGTGCAGGATGTGAAAGTCCAGATTTAGACCCTGTGGGAGCACAAGGCAGGAAAGAAGAGCGATGTATTGGGTAAAATGCTTGTAGCATTCATCCTGGAATAAAAGATGCTGGAAATGAATGAAAAAAAGTTCTGATTTTTGAAAACTTCCTGCTGATTTGAGCTGGTTTCCACCTACCCATGCAGTCGTCTGCAGCTGTTGTCACTGCTTGGTTTATGGATTTTTCTTGCAGGACACTGTGGTGTTTATTTAAGTAGGCAAGGGTATTTTCTGCCTTGTCCTTGAGAGTCACTGGGGACTTTCAGTAATTCCCAGCCTCGCTTGCAACGACAGGACTGCAAAGGGCATCAGCCCTCCTTGCTCACAGAGCTCGACAGCTTCTGAGCCCTCTCCCTCCTTGTGTTTTGCAGTCCAACAAAGTTCCCGTCGTGCAGCCGTCCCACGGAGTCCACCCGCTCACCCCGCTCATCCCTTACAGCAACGACCATTTCAGCCACGGCTCCCACTCGCCCCACTTGCCCGCCGACATCAACCAGAAACAAGGTAATGGCACCGCTGGGGATCTGCGTGCTGGGAGGGGGCCAGTGCTGGAGACCACGGGGGTCAAGGCCGTCACCTTCCCTTGCAATGGGAAAAGCCAAGAGCTTTGGTCAGCTGAGTCATTGCTTAGCAGGAGGAGTTTATTTGGCTTATTGGCAATGCTTTGTAATCCTGGTCAAGAGGAGTTCGATATCAGGAGTGCCAACCCTGCTGATCAAGTGTGCTCAATTCTCTGTGCAAGCTGTCCTGTAGCTGGAGACCAGACCCGAGCCTGCGAGATGATGCGTAAGAGTCAACCAGAAAATGGAAAGTAATCTTTCCTTTGACTCATACCCAAACTGTTGTCAGGTTGTCATTTTGAGAAAATAAATGCTTGAAACAGGAAATATTTTGACTAAATAGGATCGGTGTCTGAGCTGACTGGATTGTTATATGTGTGTGTCTGTAGCCACACGTTATGTGGTTGTCACACAGTTTGGCTCTTTGGGTTCCTGTGTCAGTCCAGGACACGTCAATTAGCTCGTGAGGCCTTGGAGGAAAGTACAGTAGGAAGAGGTTAAACCCTCAACTGTAAAATATAGGTATGTGCACAGGAATTCACCCCCAGCCCATCATTCTTCGTGGGTTACTGGCAAGCTGAGTGTAATATCAAACTTGTCTCAACCTTTCAGAATCTTTCATCATCTGTTCAGTTTGCCCAGGCTTCTGCACAAACCTGGTCTTGATTTCATGTGAAAGCAGGCAAATTCACAGTTTTGCGTCAAACTACATTCAGGATGGGCTTCGGGGTTCGTCAGAGCCCAGAAATCCGTGTGAAAATGGAGGCACAAAACCAACTGTGATTTGGGCAAAGACCTGAAGCCAAGAGTGATCCGAACTGTCCCAGAGACATCGGCTTTGCCGAGTTAACGTCATTGATAAAACATTGGGGTATCAAGGATGCTCTTGGCTGGAGGACGTGCTGAATTATCCCTGGGCTGAACCCGGAGGCCACGTTCTGGACTCATCAGGGATGCTGATGGGGAGGATTTAAATCTGGTGTAAGAGATACTCAGGGACATACTGGTTTTCTTCCAGCCAGCATGTTGCTTGCCAGCCACCAGAGCATAACAAACTCAGCAGAAAAATATGAAGAGTTAACAAAATAAACCTATTAAAAGCTCAGCTAATGGCAGACTTCTGAATCTTGAGAGGAAGCGTGCAGATTTCTAAGTCTCCCGGGAAGGCATCTGTCCTGGGTTTGAGGGAGTGGTGGGGTTTTTGGGGATCGGGGAGGGGCCTGTAGGGGTGGCCCCCTGTGAGGACAGCGTCCTGACACACCTTCCTTCCTGCCGCCTTTGCAGATGCCTTGCAGGGCACAAAAGCCCCTCGCTGTGAGCTGCCTCCAGGGACTCACTGCTAGCCTGGAAAGACTTAAGCAATACGGGAGCAGCTCACCCAGGGATGAGCTGGTTCTATCCTTCCGTGGAGGTTACCATTGCCACTGGAGTAGTTCTTAAGCATTGATCTGTGGGAATCTGTCCTTTGGCTCCACACCCGCCTGCACCCTCAGCCCAGGCACCTTCCAGTCTCCCCTTTCCCATTTAGCCTGTACGTTTACGTCGGAGGGTCTGTCCCTCCCTGAGACTCCCCCAGGTCCTATTCGTGGAGAGGTTCAGACCATCATCCCCAGCTGGGACCTGCCTCTGTGGTGCTTTGCGTGCCCCAACCCTACGCTGCTGGGATGAGGGTTTCCTTCCCCGTTCATTTTGGATGTGTCCCATCTCTGTTTTCATCGCTAAAGTATCTCCCATTATCACCTAGTGTAAGCGCTTGAGAGTCACCGTAGTACTCATTCTCACAGCATCCCTTTAAAGTATTTCACAGTAGCCCAAGGACACGCAGACAAGGAAATACAAGCAGGATCTTCTGAGTCAGTGGCTGGTGCCCCAACCACTGGGCCAGCGAGAATAACTTGTGCTCTGGCTTACGCAACTTGTATTGTTGGAGGTCCAAATCTCAGGAAATCCTGGCAGCTGCCTAATGCGGATGCTAGTTTGGATTGACCTTTGGTGGGCTCCTGCATCCCACTTGAGCACAGCTGTAGGTAAATTTCATGCTAAGTTATATATTCCTTTCAGTTCAGCTGTAGATTTATTTTAGCTAACTCATAATAAGATGCTTGGAATCTACTGGTGTCATTCCTAATTAATAATTTATCATTAATACACCTAGGAGAATAATCCAAACTTCTGAATTTGCAAACTGCTTGCAACTAATCACCAATTTATTGCCCAGGACAGCTGCTGGGCAAGCTTTATACGCGATTTTTTGTCTGAGGCTCATTAGCAATCAGCATTACACGATGCTGCGGCAGAGCTCAGCCCCAGCTCCCCTCCAGTTTTCCAGTCCGGGGGTCAGCTGGAGGCTGCTTTTGCCAGCAGCACCGCAGTTGTCTGAGTCCCACCCGCAGCCCCGGGCTCCGCGGGCTGTTTTTAAGTCCAGATAGAAACGGATAGATGCTGCGGCTGTCTCCTCTGGCCATGCCGCCCGTGCCAGCAGCTTTGAAGAGCACACAGGGATTCCCCGTGCGAAGGGTGAATTCCCAGCTGGCACCGTCCCCACCTCCACCGTTCCTTGGCACCCACAGAGCCCACAAAACGATTGCTTTGAACGGGGACTCAAGTTGTTTAAAATCGAGATAGTAGTGATGCCTGCTGGAGCATCCCCGCTGGCCACTCATGGGGGGTCCCGGGGATGCCTGCTGGAAACGGGGTGTAGGAACGGCTTTGAGCATCAGTTGTGCACCTGAACAGGCTCCCTGGGAGGGGCAGAGGGATGTCCAGAGTCCATCAAATCCTTACCAAAGCTTGGCCTCAGGGTGGCATGGAACAGGGATGATGCTTGTGCCAGGAGCAAGCTGCCTTCCCCACCCCGTTACGCGAGCGTGTGTGATTCTGCAGCAAGGTGGGTGACCCACCACATCCCCACAGAGAGAACCACAGTGATAAAAAGGGCAGTTACAATATCCTGCTGCTTTCAGACAGCTATTTCACATATATTCCCTGTTGCCCACAAGTGCCCATGGATGGAGCAGCCAGGTGGTTGGGAGCGGGTCAGGTGGGGAGCGCGGTGCTGGGTCCAACTCATCTCCTTCTCCCTTCTCCCAGGAGTGCACCGTCCTTCCCAGACCTCAGACATCCCCGGTTTCTACCCCCTCCCTCCCGGTGGAGTCGGACAGATCACGCCGTCGATGGGATGGTGAGTGTGGGGGGGCTCAGCCCCGGGCAGCCCCCAGCCCGCTGGCCGCTCCGTACGGGGGACGGTTCGTTGAACAAACCACGTGCAGCCGTTCTCCGTCACCTCCACGGTGCTTTCACGCCGGCTCCATCCCTCCTGCGTGCTGTGTGATGGGGAGGGGGATTTAGGTCTGGTTTAGAGATGGGGACCAGACCCGCGGAGAGGCTGAAGGCTTTGTCCCAGCTGGGGACATCCATGGAGCAGGGTTACAGCCTGCCCAATTCAAAACCGACTCCTACCTTACATCTAGCTGGCTGTGTGGATTAGGAAACCCAGGGAGATCTTCCTCCCCAGCTCTCCTAATCACAAGAAAAGCCTCTCTTTTTGAGGAGGAGGTCATTTGCTCCCTCGCTGGGGTTTTCGGCACAAACAGTACTTTTCCTGAGCGCGCCACCGGCATGGCGTAACCTAATGGGATGCTCCATCATCCACGGTGCTTCTCGGGGTCTGACCCGCAGGGAAAAAATATATCGTGGTAGAGACCTGCCCCGGTGAACAACACCGGGACCCACAGCCTGGCTCCAAGCACAGCCGGCTCGGCGGCACCAGTTGCACCAGGGTGGATGGGGAAGGAGGGACAGTGAACAGGAGCACTCCCAAAAAGTCCCCCCTGCACGGGCCAGCCCCGAGGAGCATCCTGTAAAGCAGAGCCTGTTGCGAAACCTGCCCCAGGGACACGAGTTAAAAATACACCAGTGTGTGCTCTGTGGTCATCGCCACTGGCTTTTGTGTTGGTGAGCACACCGAGGGAGCAGGTCGGGCAGGCAGTGCTGTGTGGGCATCGCCACTCCTCAGGTTAATTTTTAATCCCGGTCGGTGACGCAGGGACCTTGCAGAAGCTCACAGGGAGGCAGCGGGTTGGGGTGGCCGGGAGAGGGGGAGAGAGCAGGGAGGGCAAACACAGGCACAGGCGGCCAGATCCCCCCCTGGTGCCAGCTGATAAAAGCCCAGCAAAGCCCCGCAGAGACCTCCAGGTACAAGAACATACTGCAAAATGGGAGAGGCGAAGCCCATTAAAACACAAAGTAAAATGTTAGCTTTTTGTTTTGTTTATGAATTTCATGTTCCAGCTATTTAACCACAAGGAAACAGAGGCTGAGGCCTTTGATACAGAGTTCAGCTTCAAAGAGATTACATTTTGCCTTCTGTGCTAAATCTGCTTCTCTTGGGCGATGATTTAACTCCTCATATGATGTGATTCATCCTCAGGAAAAACAAGTACTGGGGTGACTGTGCCATAACATGAAAGAAATAGTTGGGGGTGAGAAAGGAGCCTGTTTGCCAAATGCAAGGTCCGTTCTTGGGGTGGGAGATGCTGTTAAGGGCATGCGGAGGGAAAGAAGCCTGGTTTGCACAGAGGGTTTGTCGGTGGTTGGTGGCGGAGGGAGTTGGTGTTGCTGAGAGCTGCTCCAGTGTCCACGGGGTTTGGCATCCTCAAGCAACCTCGTCAGACACGTTCATTAGTGACTAATAGAGCAGAGATGGTAAAGCAACAAACAGCCCGACGGAGAGGAGAGCAGCACCTCGAAGCGCGTGTGTCTGCAATAGAGCTTTTTGCCTGCCCAAAATTTACGGGAAAGAGCCCCAAAACCACTCCCCAAGTGCCCTGTCTTCAGCTGAGGCTCAGCACATCGGCGCAGGGAGGGTGCAGAAGCGTTGACCCCGTGCAGGAGGCAGCGGGCAGCAGGAGCTGCGTGCCGGGGATGCTCGTGCCGGGGATGCCAAGCCAGGGATGCAGCTTTTCCTCCGCGAGCCGGCAGGCAGGAGCTGGGCAGAATGGGGCTTTGTTCTCACCGAGCACTTCGGGAGGAGGAGCTGCAATCACTCTCTCTGTAATTAGCCGGGATGACAGTCGGATAAAAGCCTCTGAGAGTCCAGTCGAGTGAGTTTTGCTCACGGGAGCCTGGCAGCAAACATCAGGCGGGAGCGGGCGAACCGTGTCGCTCAGCGGTGCCACCGCAGCCCCTCCACGGCCAGCCTGCATCTTTTTTTCCAAGCCGCCCCCCCATCACCAGGTGATCCAGGCTGTAATCGTGCCTTCCCAACCATCAGGGACTGATTTTGCGATCGCATTAATTTGCACGTCGGAATCACTTTGGATGAAGCCGCGAGTGCCCGGCTCTTTTTCCATCCCAGTATCTCTAACGCATGTCGCTTCTGGATTAGCTCCGAGTGTTTTCTCGGCCCTGGGGCAGCCGCCTTCAACTTCAAAGGTTGTTTCGGTTTCCCGATGCGCGGTAACACTTGGCTGTTTGTTGGTGTGTTTATACCCGCCGACATCTAAGGGGTGGGAGAGGGCTTCTGCCTGGCAGGGTATAAACAGAGCCCTGCCGCCTCGCCTGCCTTTCCTACAGACAGATCTGCAGATTTCAGTCAAGCCGAGACACAACAGCTCCCTGAGCAGCAGGAACAGAAACCTCCTTCCTCCCCAGCACAGCTCAAGGGCCTGACTGCCGCGGCGCTGTCGTTATTCCTCTTCAGGGCAGAAATTGTCTGTAGCGCTGAAAAATCCCTGGCATCCAGGAGCTCGGTCCCTCGGAGGGCACCGCACTTAATGATAACGGGCTTTTTGGGTTTCGCTGACTAGAGCTGAAAATAGCTGGTGCTGGTTTTAGGCACAGCTCTGTGCAGCCTGGCCAGAGGAGCACGAGCATCAGCACAGGTTTAAGCACCCCATCCTGCCCTCCTCAGGCATCTCGGTTTCCACGCGCCCTTTTAGGCTGGGAGAATCTTTTGGCAGATTTGCAGAACAAGCCAAGGTATTTTTGAGCTATTTCCATATGAAAACGGGGAGGGGGGGTGGTTTCCCTTGCTGGGAACAACAAGGAACTTCCCGCATAGTTATTTTACTATCTCAAAAATGATTTCCAGCTCCTGGCCTTGTACATGCCCAGTCCTCAGTATGAAACAACTTTCAAAAAGAAATGTAGGACCGAGCTTTTGGCTTGTTTAAAAATGACAGGCATCCTTAAAAGGATGCATTGGGGAAATCAGAGCATTTCTGAAGCATTTATAAGGGCAGAGTAGATGTTTTCTCTTTGGACATTCTTGGGCATCCTCCCGGTGCAGCCTGCAGCCATGACTGAACAGAGAGAGGCTCTGAGCAGGCTCTAGGTTTTTTTGGTCAAACTGCTCTTTTAAAGAAGCAACTTCGTCTGTGCTATAGCTAATTTTTCAGCACACCTCCACATTTTGCATTTTAACAGGACAAACTCAAAGCTGCGGTGTTAACACCGGGGACGGAGGGGGGTCAGAGTTGGAGCCAACCTTTGCAGGGAGGCTTGGCTTCTCCCAAAACAAAGTCCAAGTCCCTCACTGCCCCTCCAGCCCTGGGGACACCCCGAGCAGCCCGCCAGGCAGAGCTCCTGGGGCATCGGTGCTGCGAGTCCCCGTAGCAAAGAGTATCTTTAGGAACTACCACGTAGCTGTGGATGCTTTATAGACTCTTTCTTCCCGATCCCAGGCAGAGCCAGTCTGTCTATCCGCTCCCGTCATGTGGATTTAGACAGCCGTATTCGTCAGCGCTTTCTGCTGGGGCTTCTTTCTCCAGGTGAGTATGAGCTGTGTGAGACAGGGCAGCAGCTCGGCTGGTCTCGCAGCTTGCAGTTTGTGCAGTAGGAGCTTGCAGCAGACCACGGCCGCCCAGGGACGGCCACACACTGTCCCCAGGGCAGCCGTGGGAAGAGAAGGCGCTTTTAGGCAGTGTCTGGTCCAAAGAGGGCTCAGGGGAATAGCGAGCATCCCGGGAGGATGCACAGCGATTGGATTTTAATCAGCAGAAGTCAAAACAAAGCCAGAATCCCTCGCCTTCAGCTCAGCATTGGGAAAAAGGGGTGAAATCCATCGCTCAGGATTTTGCTCCTTGTCACTAACCTTAATCCTGAATACATCCCTGCTGCCGCCACCGCTGAGTTTTGCTCTGCAGAGACCCATCTGGTTTACTTGGTCTCCACCTCAAAAAGCAGGGCAGGCAGTGGGCAGCGATCGGCACGAGTCAGTTCTCCGAGATGTAAACACAGCTTCTGCCTCCCCCCCCCGTCCCATCATCGGGCAGCGTGGGGCCGGCATGGCCGTGGGCCGTTCCCTGCCCACGGGAAGGGGTCGGCAGGAGCCGGCCACGTCGCTGCCCTGCTTCCCCCCACGACGACCTGGCCCTGCGGCACGACCCGCCTTAAATTCTGAGCAGGTTGGGCCACATAGCACAGCCCTGGAGCATTCGGACTGCAAGTTTATGGTCACCCAGGACCAAATTTTGCCCTCTGTAAATATACCCAGTGATGTCCCAGTGAGCAAGATACATCTCCCGTGGATGGAAATCGTGGAGCCCAGCTCCTGGGCGTGCTGGCAAAGCCCCTGGGGCTCCGGCGAGGACGCCTGTGCACACCGCGTGTGCTCGCGCACCAGCTTTCGCTTCTGCTTCGTGTCGTCCCGAAGAGCCGTTAGCGGAGGTTTCCCACAGGAAAGCCGTGCAAACCCTTACCCGTGCAAGCCCTTAGCCAAGAAAAAAAAAAAAAAAAACAAAAAAAAAAAAAAAAAAAAAAAAACCAAAAACCTCCATCCATGCAACCCTCGATCCATGCAAACCCTTAAGCCCTGCAGCAGAGGCGAGGGAAGGCTGCCAGCCCTCGTTGCTCGCCGCGGCATCGCTCTGCCCAGCCTCGAGGGCGAAGGCGAGAGGGGAGCTAACGGTTCCGGGCAGCCTCCCCCAGCCCGGTGCAGGAGCTCCCGCTCGCAGGATTTCGGGGCGGATTTTGCAGCACTGCTGCAGCCGAGAAAGTACACCTGGTCAGATAAGGATCAGACTGTGCTGGTGGATTAAATTAAACAGCTTTTCTTTTCGTGCCAGCATATCTAATGAACAGTTCATCTCCCATGGGCAATTCTGCCATCTCAAGCTGCAGTCATAAAGTGGCAAGCTTGGCAAAGCTGTCTGCACTGGCTTTACCCTCTAAAACTCTCAAGAGAGCTAATGAAGCCTGAAAGCTGGCGAGACCTCTCGTGATCTCAGTCCTGTATTGGTGGAGAACATTGCTTAGGCGAGGTGCACCTCCTAGAGTTGCAGTTTGGTTCATGTTCAGACTTATGCTGTTTCTTTTAAAAGAAAGGTGCAGGGTGGTCCTAATCTCTCCCATCCAAACCCGGGGTTGCGTTTGTTGTTCCTTTCTGCAGCGTTAATAAGATATTGCAACAACAGAGATCTGAGTAGCTGAAACCACTGGTTGAAAGCGCCCTTGATCTCGGCCAGGCTGGCTCCCACTGCAGGCTGGGTTCCTGCAGCAGCACCGGGACCTTTTCCACCCACGTGCCCGCAGCTCAGCCGGCCATGCCCGGGGGGTGGGCAACCCGGGGGTGGTGGGCACTAGCCTGCCCCGCGGGTTTGCTTGCCGTGTCCTCCGCTTACCGTCCGCTTCTGCCACGTCAGAGTGCCAGCTCGCGCGACACACCGCTCCGGCATCCCCGGCCTGTGTCACCCTCCTGGCGTGGCTCATCCGCTCTCCGTTGCAGGTTCACTCACCCGCTGATGCTGGGCTCCAGCATGCACACCACCGGCATCCCGCACCCTGCCATCGTGCCCCACTCCGGCAAGCAAGAGATGGAGCACTATGACCGAAACATGTAAGTCGGATCCCCACAGTCTTAGCGCCTTAATACCCATTTCGTTGATCACTGCGAATGCTTGGAGGGAGGCGGGGAGGATGGATGAACGCCAAGCTCTGCCTGAATCAGACAACGGCGCGTATCCGAGGTGCAGATCTCAGCCTTCCTGGCCCGTTTGTGCTGTCGGGGGGCGTGTTTGGTGAGGGGTCTTCTGCTGAGCTTGGTGCCACGGGGCGGGAGGGCAGCTCTGATGCTGACAGCTCCTCTTTTGGTCCCACCAAGGAAACCTCAGCCAGAACCAAAGAGAGAGAAGGAAGCTAAGAAGCCCACCATCAAGAAGCCCCTGAACGCTTTCATGTTGTATATGAAAGAAATGCGGGCGAAAGTCATTGCCGAATGCACCCTGAAAGAGAGCGCCGCTATCAACCAGATCCTGGGCAGGAGGGTAAGAGCACACGGGGCTCAGCGCCGTCGTCCCAGGGCAGCAGCCCGGTCCCTCGCAGCTGCTCTTGAGCAGGTATCAAGCAGCTGCTTTCAAAGCCGGCGTCGTGGTTTAAGCCCAGCCGGCAACTAAGGACCACGCAGCCGCTCGCCCGTCCCCGCTCTCAGTGGGACAGGGGGGAGAATAAAAAAAAAAAAACCAAAACTCGTGGAATTGAGATAAGAACAGTTTAATAACTGAAATAAAATAATAAACTAAAATAGTAATGATTATAATGATAATGACAATAAATACAATAAAAAGAGAGAAATAAAACCTAAGAAAAGACAAGTGATACAAGTTGCTCACCACCCGCTGACCGATGCCTGAGCAGTGCTTCCCCCCCCTGCCCAACTCCCCCCAGTTCATCTACTGGGCATGAGGTTCTATGGTATGGAGTAGCCCTTTGGCTAGTTGGGGCCAGCTCTCCTGGCCATGCTCCCTCCCAGCTTCTAGCGCACCTCCTCGCTGGCAGAGCATGGGAAACTGAAAAATCCTTGACTCAGGATAAGCGCTGCTGAGCAACAAGTCAAACGTCAGCGTGTTATCAGCTTTATTCTCACGCTGCATCCAAAACACAGCACCCTACCAGCTACTGGGAAGAAAATTAACTCTATCCCAGCCAAAACCAGGACACCTGGGTGCTCTTATCCCTTAAACATGCGGAGTCGGATGTGGCCCGGCATGGGGTGGGCGGGGAGGGGACAGGGGGGGCTGCATCTCACCCCACGCTTGTCCTTGCAGTGGCACGCGCTGTCCCGGGAGGAGCAGGCCAAGTACTACGAACTGGCGCGCAAGGAACGGCAGCTCCACATGCAGCTCTACCCCGGCTGGTCTGCCAGAGACAACTACGTGAGTGGCCGCCGCGGCTCAGACCCCCTCCCCATGGCATGGCCAGAAGCGACCCTGGGGCCGGGGTGGGGGGGCTGGCAACCGGGGTTTGCCAAACATCCCTCCTGGTCTTGCCATTCCTGATGGCACGAGAGCTGTAGAAATTCACATTTCAGGAGTATTTTGAACATCCTCTTGGCTCATCGCTAATCTATAGCACAAAGGTTATAGTTCCCCAGCTACCACAACCGTTTGTGCACTTACAGTCTAAGTAAATACAAGTAGAAAGGAACAAAAACTTTTGAATAATGTGGACGATCACTGAAAATAAAATTTTATGGAAACGCACTGCTTTGTGCATCTCAGGTAGCAGCTGAGACATCGGCCCGGTGGGAGCAGGGCGTGCAGATGGGGCAGAGATGCAGGAAGAGAAATTCAAGGGGTGCTGAATGGGCACCCACAGCCTGCTCAGCTCTGTTCACTTTGTGGTAGCACCTCGTTTACCAGCTTTAAATCATGGGGCTGGGCACCGCAGGCTCCACAGCCCCGGGCACATCATGCTGAGCCCGGGCACATGCAGCAGTTTGGGGGGAGGATTTGCCAAATTGCGGGCTGCCGCCTCTGTTCTGAGGGTTTAAAACTAGTGCGGGGCGTCTGCCTGAGCCACGCTCATGGGAGCGTAATAATAACAGGAAATAATTTTTAAAAAGGCAAAATAGGAAAGCGTAAGCTGCTTTGTTTGAGTTGTAGTACAAACCTCAGTCTCGCAGGCTGTTCAGGTCCGATTTCAGACTCTCCGTGGGGCTGCATCCCAAGCAGCAGCCCCGTAAGCAGTACTCGCAGGGTGCCAGTCACCGAGTTTCTGTCTGTCCCTCAGGGATGCCGATCCCACCCTGACCCAACAAAACACACTACATTCAAAGTATTAAAAGGCAATTTGAGCAAACTCAGACAACAGCACCGCTTGTTCTGTGAGCACGTGAGCTCAACCCAGCTCTTTGGTGAGCCTGTTTCCTAACCAAGGTTGCTGTTTGGGGGGAAAAAAAAAATCTCAGATTGAAAAAAAAAAAAAAAATTCCCCCCAAACCAGGCATTGGCTGCTGAGCGGAGCAACTGAGCCACGCAGCAAGTAGTGGTGGTTTTCAGCAATAAAAATTAACTAGTGCAGAGGGCCCTGAAGCACTCTGAGGGTTGGGATCGCGTGTTCCCGTAGCCCAAAGAGATTTCCTTGTGTATAAGGGAGAAAAGAGAAGCTTCAGCCTTGATCTTCCCAGGTTTTGGCTGTAGTGAGGTACATGGCCGCAGCACTAGATGCCAAACTTATCCCCGAGGTGTGAGCAGAGATAAAAACTGAATTTGGTTTTTAAAGAGAGCTGGCTTGACTCCACATCTGAAATCGTGGCTCTTTCTGGAGGGGGCTGCAGTGGACCGGCCACGCTGGCATGGCCGGGGCTCCCGGCGCCCCCCCGGCTCCCCAGGGGGAAGCGGCAGCAGCTCTGGGGCTGGCCCGAGGGACAAAGCTGCTTCACAGCTGGTGCTGGTAGGGCCAGCACTTGGGAAGCCTCTGGGCTACAATATGTCACATTTAAAGGTTACTCTTAAAAGAAAATTCATTTCCTCTTCGCTATATTAATCACTTCAGCAGCGTGGTGTTAAACAAGGTTGCATAGGTGTAGCGGTGCCCCAGAAGCACGGGATACACTCCGGGTCTTTTCTAGTGGCTTTCTTGACTGTTTTGATCTTACATGCCTAACGAGCTCATTAGAGACCTGAAACAAAGCACACCTAAGTCTTCAGATGTCCATTCATCCACTCGAGGGCTCTGCCCTTTGATCTAAGGCTCCATCACTTCCCTTGCAGCCGCTTGCTTTCCCCTGGGAGCCGCACAGCGAGCACCCAGACAGCCCACTCTGACCAGAGCCCTCCTTCCAGAAAGCCCAAACTCCACTGAGGGCAAGAAAACACCCTCAAACAGACCAAAACACACCAAACCCCTCACCTCCAAAAAAAAAAAAAAAAAAAAAAAAAAAAGAAGGAAGGGAAAACAGAGGGCAGAGATGATGCAGAAAAAGCAGAGGTTGCAGAAGCCCCCAGCCCGTGTTTCCCTGCAGCAGCACAGACATCCCTGCCTCCTTGCAAGCACAGCCCAGGAGCTCAGCATCCATATGCAGCTTTGCAGGATCAGTGCTGGATGCTGCCGCCCTCCGGAGCCGCCCTTAGAGAAACTGGGGCAGCCCCCTTGGTGGTGGGCACACCTGGAGGGCAGCAGCATCGCTGAGAGCAAGGCACCATCTTCCTCCAAGACCCAAGCACAGCTTCCGTGGAAATCTCAATCCCGTAGCATCCTTCATCTTGGCAAGGGCTGGTTCCTTGCTCCAGAAGTTGGAGCGGATGGTGGGCTCCAAAAGTGAACGTTGGCTCTCCCGGCACCGACAAGCAGCTGCTTCAGGTCTTGTGGTTGTTGCAGGAGATGCTTTTCTCTCCAGAGCTTGAGCGGGGAGGAGGAATGTAGGTCACTTCTGCAGCACGTGATGCCGATAGCGGGCAGGAAATACAGTTGCTCCCACACAGAAGAAAAACCTTACCGCAGCTCGGAGCTTTCCACCTTCACTCAAACCACAAGAAGTCATATAAAAAGTGGCAGGTCAAAGGCAGCCCTGCGAACAGCCTGCTCCATGCAGGCCAGATTTGTTCCTGCACCGCTGCGCCCTCATTAATAAGCTCATTAGGAGATGAGGGGAGTTGCTGCGTACTGTGAATCAAGAGAGGCAGTTTGGGGATAAAATTGAGTTTTCTTGTTAGTGGGGGAAGAAAACAGAAGAATGAGAGATGGGCCCAGAGCTGCAAATGCACTGAAATAGATAAGTATTATTTTAAATACATTTCTATGGATTTCCTAAAACTTTCTTTTCCCTTTGAAATCAGGGATGCTCCTGCTGGTAACATGTTACGGAGCAATTTCTGTTCAGGCATAAGGCACCACATTAAAGCGTGAATTGGAAATAGGGAAGGTGCTAAAATGGGCCACGAGCTTTTTAGAAACATAAAGAGGGAGGAGGAACCAGAATATGCCAGGAGGATCAGCTGTTGATCATACTGCCTTATTGCATGTGGTAAAACTTACTTAAATTACCTCTTAATTAATTAATTAAAGCAATAATGGATAGGATTCCCAGGTGAGATGCATCAGGGTGGGCTGAGGAGCACTGGTAGGGGTTGGCAGAGGTGCTGAGCAGTGCAGGCACAGGGTTTATTATAGCTGGTTTTCACCCACTGATATTTTCTCTCGTGCCTTCTTGTGCAGACTGCGGTTGTAACTCAGGGTCTCGGCTGCGTTTGTGGCGTGGTCGTGAACTCAGAAAGCAGAGCTGGGGAGCAGCGTGTTGGGAAGAAGATGCAGCAGAGGCGGGGGGTGGTGGTGGGGACGCGGCCACCGTCTCCTCTGAGTTTCTGTTGCTGTTTCTGTGTACGCACAGATCTCGTGGAGAGAGGTTTGGGGATGAGTCAGAATGCCCATGGTGCTGGATCCAGGGGTGCTGGAAATGAGGGGTTATTCCTGAGAAAAAGATGCATGCCCAGAGCAAATTTTTGCCATGTGAAAGGCAGCTGTCAGCATGTGTGGAAACACAAATCTGGGTGGCTGCTCAGAGAGTTCCTCCTGGGTTTTTTCTCGGGAGCGTTGGACTGGGTGGGTGGGGAAGGGCAAGTAGATAAACCTGAGCAGGTCCAGGTCCCCTTGCAGTGATTTCTAGTTCATCTCTCCCCGCTGTTAGAGGATGTGGCCACCCACCCGGGCAGCAGCTCCCTTCCCCAGCAGCCTGATCCAGCCCCAAAACCCTGCACAGCACCCTCGGTCTCCTGGGAGCACAGAGTAACGGCCTTCCCTTTGCTTCCCTAGGGGAAAAAGAAGAGACGAACACGGGAAAAGCAGCAAGATTCCAACTCAGGTAAATGAATGCGGCTCGGTGGCTGTCCCTTTGTTTCTGCTCAGAGGGGATAATCCAAAGGAGTTGTCACGTTTTACTATGTTTTTTTTTATTCTCTTGACCTTAACTAAACTACACATTTAATTTTTTTTTAAGATGGGTTAAATTAATATTTCTGTGACTTTTTCGTAGACATGTTTGAATTAGAACATGGGTAGTGTGTGAAAACTGAAAAAAATAGATTTTTGGCAAGTGCATTACTTCATATAGACTATCACTAAGCTCAGTCTTTTCAAAACATCCAGGGTGAATGTCCTCATCAGCCCTACAGGTATCATTAATTAAAGAAAACTCCTCTCAAATGGATCAGTATTGCATGTGGTACTAAATGCTGTGTCAGGATTGAAGATCACCCACAGGACCACCCCAAATTTGGTTTTCATTTCAAAGTAACCTAGAGTTCGAGCAAAGTCATTCTAAAAACCAGTACCAGTTGCCTCCCTGCACCACACTTCATTAGAAAAGGCCCTTTTCATGTATTTCAGCTGGTGACATGCACATTCCCATCATCTGAGGCTACTCCTGTGCTGTTTTCTGAAGTATTTCTGCTGTATCAGGAATAAATATCTGTACCACTAAATATTCATTATAAAACATCAACAGACTGTCCTTGCCTGCTATGGCACTACGTATACATGAAGTTAGCCTGTTTTTTCCAGTATGTCCATTCTGTTATTGCCTGTAGATTTGCAAAGAGCTTTTCCCACTCTCCAGCCTACTCGTTCATTACTGCTCGTTGCTCTTATTTACTTTCAGATGAAATTAAGGCAGCCAGATGATAGGTTATTGGCCTTCTAAGCAAAACTGTAGTTCTCTCTCCCTCTAGAATTGCTCCCTTGGGAGGGTGCCAGGTCAGCCTGGTGCTCTCCTGGGCTCGCACACCCACACAAAGACCTGTCACGCCTGAGCTGGGGACCCCAAGATGCAGAGCTGGCTGCCTCTGGGCAGCCCAGTTGTTGGTCAGGACACGGGAGTCCAGCTCTGGTGTTACTGCTGTGGATTGCACAGCCGTGCGACCAGAATCCCGCAGCCTGCCTTAATTCCTAAAATTCAGATTATCTCATTAATTTCATGAATCGCTGTTGGATGACCTCTTTGAATTGGCCAGAAAAAGCAATTCCTTGACTGTGTCCCAGTAATATCTTCAGTTTAGTTAATGCTGTTGATCTCATTCAGTGCTTAGACGGATAAGGGGAATACAAGCTGTTAGGCTTATATGTAGTACACATATATATGTCTTGTCTGTGTGATACAAAAATGATAATTTCACCTGTTCTGGCTTGAAAACCAACTGCTGGTCATACGCAACAGGAGACACTGGTGGTGGCTGAAAGAGGGAACGTGAATCCAGCATAGAAATGCGCTGTTCAAATTCCATTTACAGCACGAGAGAAAAACCACAATGTGCCTAAAAGCAAATAGGGCTTCCCCTTCATGAGTCCTGTAATTATACAGTAAAACTGCAACATTTTAGGGAAGTCCACTGGGAATAGCTTTTCCATTAAAACTGGACGGGGAATGGTGGGGGGCAGAGTAGAATAACCTGGGTCTGGGTCTCCTTGGTGCTAACTCTGCTTTCAGCCTGCTTCTGCAACGTTTCCTCCTCTTCTTTTCCATGCGCAGTCCGAGCTCACTGGCAGCCCCGTTTAGTCGCTGCTGGAAAGGCAGGGAGCAGGTAAGGATGCAGACACAGGAGGCAGGCGGCGCCTCTGGGATTTGGCAGCTTTTCCAAACTTAAGAAATTCAAAGAGCTTCCCTGTAATTGCCCATACTTCCCAGAGCTGAGGCCATTTCCCAAACCTCCTTCTCCAGCTGCCAGCAGTGATCACTGATATTTGCCTAACGATCACTTTTTTCCAGGAAAGGTGGTGCCGGCACTGTTCTGTTGCAAAGAAAAAAAAAAAAAAAAAGAAAAAAAATTGGATTGTAGTCTGTTAGTCATGTGTTAAAGTGGCTAAAATGATGTTGCCTCTTTTCTTCCTCCTGCTCCTTCTCCTCTTTGTGCCTCTGCCTTGCCCATTCTCCGCCACGCATGCTTCTGTGTTCAGATCCTGCCTCTCCTAAGAAATGCAGAGCTCGCTTTGGCCTCAACCAACAAACGGACTGGTGCGGCCCATGCAGGTGTGTATCAGCATCTCCTCGCTGCTGGGGTGCTCCTGGGCAAGCGGGTTCGGCTCCATGCGTCCTCCTGCAGCCGTCCCAGCGCCAGAGGGGGCTGCTCCGGCCAGGCGGGGATGGGGTTTTGCTCTGGGCATCGGCAGGAGATGTTGTCTGAGCTGCAAAGGGTCAGGCTGCACCCCGGGTTTCTTACCCCACCTCCTGGGGCAGTGTAGGTGGAACGCTGTACCTCGGCTGGTGGGCTTCCCTGGTGTTAAAAGCTTATTTCCAGGGTGGAGACCTCTGTGACCCTGTTGTGGGGCTTTTTTCCCCTGTTAGAGATTTCGTATCTCTAGGGTCAGCAGTGAGTAGTTAATGGGTTTCTTTTTCTTATTTATACCGGGGCTAACCATATATTTCAAGATCCATCTCTTCTTGACCCTGAAATCTGGCAGTACCCACCACGGGTGGGGTGGGACAGCCTCAAGCAGCGAGACAGTTTGCAAGCGCCCTGTGCCTTGAGCTGCTAGGGAGTGAATGTGGCCGGGCAGTAGTAGAGCTTAGTGCACGGAGCAAGGGCTACGCAGTTCAAGGGGGCTGCAAATGCAGCCAGGCAGAAAAAGCTCCTGGGGGGCTTCTGGATCTGGGCAGCGAAGCACAGAGAGGCTCCAGCCTGGACAGAGGGCTACAATTCATAGCACATTTTTACACCGATGCCTTGACTCTAGCAAAAGCTGGAAGTAAAGTCTTGCTTAATGTGCTTACTGCGGCTTAAAGTGACTAAAACCACTTAAGCTACCCAAAGGTGAACCCCGAGGCGCAGCCCTGCAGTGTCCCCACGGTGCGTGGCCGCTGACCTCGCTGGCACCCCGAGCTCAGGTCCCTGTGGCTGAGCCCAAGGCGAGCTCCCCTCCCCGAGCCACATCCTGCACCTCGGGGTGCTGTGCAGGCCTCCCTGCTCGCCTGTTAGACACTGGGTGATGGCATCAAGCACCGTTTGTGGTTTTGTTTTTGTTTTTTTAACTGATCAAGAATCTGGACAGAGCCCCCTTAACAGCTCATTAATACTCTACCTTGAGTGTCCAGAGAGGGTTTTTTGAGACCCCGTCCCTCGCACAGCAATGCCACCGAGCTGAGCCCCGTACTGCAGCGCAGGGCACGGCTGCAGCTCTGCGGGCAGTTCCTCCAACTTCGCTCTGCCTTCGTTTGAACTCTCTTAATTCAGCTTCTCCTCTGCACCGCTTCCAAATTAACACAGGCTGCTGAAGCGCTCGGAGACCTTAGCATGCTTTTATTTTTTAACCTCTGCCTCTCGAACCCTGGTTAGTCCCAGCTGTTCTGCAATTCCTGGTACTAACGTGCTGCTGCTGGCTCAAGGGCTCTTGTCATCCGTGCTCTGGTCACCTGTGGTGAGCAACTTCCACCAAAGGATTTCCACTCCACAGGAGAGGTTAACTGGTTAAAATTGGGTGTTCCTGCTCTTGAGCTTTCACCCTCCTCCCCTTCACCTCCAGCAAACCCCTCAAGGGTGCTGTAGTTCCTAAAGGGAGAGGGATAAATCCCTTTTAGCTGTGTAATAGCCACCTCAACCACAGCCCGCTAACCGGTCCATTATCAGCAATCTGTAGTATCAGATCTGCTTTTTTTCCCCCACTCCCGTTATTTTAAATCAGCAAATCGATGGATCGATTTGTACCATAAAATACCAAGTTGGAAGGGACCTCAAGGAGCAGCTGGTCCAACCTTTCTTGGCAAAAGCCCGGTCTAGACGAGGTGGACCAATGCCCTGTCCAGCTGAATCTTAAACTGGGCACTGAAACGCCCCGTCCTGCAGCTACTGCTGCGATGTCTGTGGGAAACACGGCTGCTCCTCGGGCTTGGCTGCTCTGGGAAATTACAACCCATGTAAAATAACCTCCCAGTTAAATATTCAGTTCAGCAGGGCTGTCGTGTTTCATATCGCATTAATTGGGTCACCACGGCTAACGATGACACTGACAGCAGTAATAGCAATTCTCTTGTTCACATCCAGTGCAAAGGCATGTTTAATACTGGACTAGTTAATACATATTCTAACACTGTCTAGTTTTTCATTAGTAAGATCAAAGAAAGGTGTGTGCCCACATTAGCAAGTTCTCCATTTGATCTGTTTTCCTCAAATGAGGCAGCCAAGGCAGGGAGCTGGGCGGGGGGAAGATGTCTTTTTAGCTGTTTTAGCTATAAAGTCATTAATACCATCTCCAGCAGAGGAATTGTTCCCTCGCTACTCTTAAGGTGACATCTTGAGAGCTCTTTTGTTTAAAACTATACTGACATGCTCGAGGACCCGTAGCAGGTGACATGAGGCATCTGTCACACGATGAGAAGGAAAACCAGCTCAACAGAGAGTACGTAAAACCACGAGACAGTGCAAGGGACTGACTCCGGGTGGGCAGGAGAAGTTAATCTGGGCGCGTGAGATGACAACAGGAACTTGGGCTAAATAGTCCTGGTTTTGAGACTGAACAGCAGGATTGTCGCGGGACGTGGAGAAATGATGCCCAAATCCACTTACAGCAAGGATGATGTACGAGTCGGATTTCTGAGACCCCCGGATCATGACATACAAACAAGTGGGGGGCCTGAATATCTTCTCGGGGCGACGAGGGGAGGCTGGTCCTGCTCCCCAGGCGCTGCTGTCTCAGGCCCTTCCCGCACCCAGCGGGCTTCTTGCTAGAAAAGCGAGACTAGGGGAGGAGAGCTGCCACCGATGGGGTACTTTTCTACAAAAACCCCTTTTTGTGAGTAAATCTTTCCCCAGTCGATGAGCTCTAGTTGTTGCACTCCACAGAAAGGGAGCAGGGAACTGAGTCTTTCGCGGTTTCAGGTCCTCCTCCTGCTTAATCTTTCTCTCCGGCGTCCATCCACGTTGCGTTTTGTACTCTGGGAGAGCAGAGCAAACAGAAAGTCAGTCCGGCGTCCGCGCTGGTTGTTCCTTCGCTTAGTTAGCCGGCCGCAAGGTGATCTACCCTCGGAAGACCAACAAGTCTTCTGAAGGGCTCGGGACTAGTCTCGCAGCAAAGCGGGACCTTCGGGCCGTGTCTTCCCTCAGCCACGTTCTCCCTGAATCTCCGCTGGGCACTGGGAGCTCAGCCGTGGCGCCGCGGCCTCCTCGGCGCGGTGGGAATGACGCCGGAGTCTTGTGAGATGCCAAGATGGCAGCGGCCAGAGGCGTTTTCTGCAGAAAAAAAGGGCCGGGGCGATGATGCGGCGCCCACGTCCGGGGCCAGGCGAGGAAAGGGGGCTCTTAAGGCTGAAAGTTTTTCGGGTGGGCTGAGGGGAAAAGCCGCACAGGGCGCGCGGGGCCTGCTGTGAGGCGGCGGCCCCGGCTCCTCGGCCCCGGGGCACTGCGCATGCACACGCGTGTCCTGTGGGTGCTGTGTGCGCTTTGCGTGTGCTTTGCGTGGGCACTTCGCGTGGGCACCGCGTGGGCTTCCGCGCTGGGGGGGCCGTTTTAGCCTTGAAGGAGTGTGTTCACCCCACGGCCCACCCGGGGGGAGGAGCCGGGCTGGGGGCTGCTGCAAAATGGCCTCCCGGTTTGGGATGGGGTTGGGGTGGTTTGATCTTTGTTTTGCTTTTTATGATTGTCTTCACTTTTATTATTTACTATTTTTTCATTACTCTTGTGACTTTTATTACTGGGGATTTTATTGATTTTTTTACTGTTTTTTTGGTTTGATTTTTATTATTTTGGGGTTTATTGGTTGGATTTTATAATTATTTTGATTTTAGTGTTTTTATTTTTATTAGCATTTTCTTTTTTTTTATTGTTTTGATTTTAACTGTTGTTTTTATTTTATTCTTTTGATTTTTACAATTGTTTTTATTTTTAGTTATTTTTATTATTGTTTGGATTTTATCATTATTTTTATTTTATTACTTCTATTTTTATTACCATTTCCATTTTTATTGTTTTGATTTTTATTATTTATTTTTATCATCTTATTGGTTTTTTACTATTGCTTTGATTTTTAAATCATATTATTGTTTGAATTTTGTCATTATTTTGATTTTATTGTTATTTTTATTACCTTTTCCATTTTTATTATTTTTATTTTTGTCTTGATTTTCATCTTGATTTCTTGTTTTGATTTTTTTTTTATTGCTTGGATTTTATCGTGATTTTGCTTTTATTGTTTTTATTTTTATTACAATTTCCATTTTTATCATTGCTTTGATTTTCATTATTGTTTTACTTTTTATTACTTCTTTTTATTATAATTACTATTTCCATTCGTGTTTTTACGACCGCCCTTTCTCCTCGCTTTGCGGCCGAACCCTTTCCGCTCTCATTCCGCTCACAGAGCCGCGCGCCCTTCCCGCAGCAGCCCCGGCTGCGCGGCCGCGGATCGCGCAGCTCCAGCGCCGTTTGTGCGCGGCCGCGCAGACACCGCCCCCCCCCCCCCCCCCAAAGCGCTCTCGCCGCGGGGCCGCCGTTACGGCGCCGCCTGGCGGCCGCAGCGAAACCACAACCCCCGGTCGCGGGGGGAGCGGGGAGCAGGGAAGGGGGGGGGGGGCCCGGCCGCGGCGGGGGGGGAGGGGGAGGAGGCGGCCAAAGCAAGGCCCGCGGTGAAGCGGGGGGGGGGGGGGGGGGGGGGGGCACCGCCAAACCCCAGCTGGCTGCGTGCCCCGGCCTGCGCCCAGCGCTGGTTTGCATCTGGCGTGGTGACCGTGAACTCACCCTTTATTCACAGAGAACTCTCTTCACTCTTCTTAGGAGGAAAAAGAAGTGCATTCGGTACTTACAAGGAGAAGGACGCTGTGCCAGCCCAGTTTCTTCCGATGGAAGTGCTATAGACTCCCCTCCCTCTCCTCTGGACGCACTCCAATGCATCTCCTCTGCTTTTCCTTCAGACAAGCTTGCAGCCCCCGCTGACTCCGCACACAGAGAACAGCCCGACCCCTTCCCCGCCTCCGCTCACCTCCAACCCGCCACCTGCTCCTCCAGACTGACCACCAGGTGCTCTTCCGCGCCCACGGAGTCCCCAGCCTACAGCGTGGCCTCCTCGGGGACATAGTCCCACCCGCCCTGGCCAGGACACCGGGCACGTCGCGCTCTCCCGCCCGGCTTCGCTGCCCAGTGCGAAGGACCAGAGGCCCAGCCAAACCGCCCCATCTCGCTGTAAAACGCGCAAAGTTAGGCAACAGGATGACTTAAGGATGCTGGAAAACTCATTTCGGGGTGGTTTTTATTTTTTTTGGCGGTGGGGGGTGTTAAAGATAGAAAAGTGATTTCAAAAAAAAAAAAAAAAAAAAGAAAAAAAGGTATAAAATAAGTACTTGCCAAAATTTAAAGTGCTGATGAGTAAACAAGCCTTTTGTCCCTGCCCTGTGCTGCTTTTTTTGTTTGGGGTTTTTTCATTTGGTTTTGTTTTTTTTTTTTTTTTCTTTTTTCACTCCATTATCTTCCAGAATGGCAGAAAGCAGCCAAACTCCCCAGCTTGCTGCAGTAGATGGTAGGTGCTATCAGTCTAACACCAGCTTCCACTCCCTGCCTTCCGAGCTGCTTCCAAGTGTAGTCACTCACTCAGATCTCTCGTAGCCGTTATTACCATGGAGCTGGAAAAGCTGGAATAGGAGCATTTTTTCAAAAGCCCACATGTCTGAAAACCAAACGTAGCAATGCTAGCTTTCTGACCTGGCCGGATAATAGCCAAATATTTAAACCAACGAGGTGAATTTTTTTAAAACTTCCTGTTTGACAACAGGAAGGTCTTGTTTACAGGTGACAGGTCTCTGCGCTCAGCGTGGCAGAGGCGGCGAAAGGAGCTCGGCCCGGCCGCTGGAGGGGCCGACGGTCAATTCTCGCCTGGGTGCCGGGTCTCCCTCGCTGCTAGGAGCTGCCCGCTGCGGGACGTGGGCGGCCAGAAATCTCGAAAGGCCTCAAAAATCAGTTTGCTGCTCCGGCCTTGACCTAACCCTGCGGCGGGGAGGGCGGGCGAGGGGCAGGCTGGCCCGTGGGCAAGGACGGCGCTGGCCCAGCGAGCCGCCCGCGGCCGAGCGGAGCTGGGGGACAGAGGTGCCAGCAGCCTGGCAGCAGGACGGCACGCTACCCCGCTACGCACCCTCGGCGAGATCAGAGCCCTTTTTCTCATGATTTGGTGTGTAAAAGTTTAAAAAACCTTATTCTAGCTTTTTCTAAAAGGTCCTCCCTCCACTCCCACGATGATGCCAAACGTTAACAGCTTCTCTCCAGCTTGAAAATGTTTACCGGCTTCTGGTATTTTATTTATACTTGGAGTCTGGTAAAACAAAAACCACTGTGGACAGGATGTGTTCTCCCTGAACCAATGTACGTCCCAAATTAATCCAAGTTCTTGATTTACTTCAGGCTTACAAACTTCTCTCAGAGACCACAATCTAGTCCAGTGCAGATTTTTTTTCCGCCTTGAAAGAAACATATTCTAGACTGCTGAAGAGAAAAACACCACCATGCAGAGGGAGGGGCGGGACTATTTTTTTCTACTTTACAGAATAGGTTTTAGAGTACTGAATACAAATTATGTAGTAATATTATTGTAGAACTGCAAGAAATTTAAGATGACCTTTATAATGTACAAAATATTTTTATATTTTTTTTCTTAACGCAAAAACACAAACCCTAATTTTTTACATTGGACTAAACATAACTTTTTAAACAAGTTTATGCCTCAAAGGTTGAAAATTAAAAAAAAAAAAATGCTAGTGCGTAGAGCAGCTTTGGGTTTATTCCCTTTATTTAGGTACTTTTGCTTACAGTAGTGTAGAGTTTTTAATTCCAGCTTGAGTTTAGAAGATCTAAACCTATTGCTTTATTCTCTTCCTGTGTAAATGTAACTTCAGAAGCACTGAATGAAAGCTACGTGCACAAAGCTGAAAAGTTTGAAAAGAGTCATTTTAAAGTTTGAATCATTTTAACCCTTAGAGAAGTAGCATTACCTGAACCGACTGCCAACTGTACACTTAGTCCTGTACTTTTTGCACTCAGAGGGTTAATTACAGCACTAGATCAATATGCAATCTGCTAATTTTTAAATTATTTTAGCAAGCTTAGACAACAGCATGCTCCAGTGCTAAAGAGAGAAACTCAGCAGACTCTTCCCAGATCTGACATAGTCTGTTTTTTAAAAAAAAAAAAAAAAAAATTGCCAAAAAAAAAAGTAACATCTCAACTCACCACTTGTCACCCTGAGACCCTCTGGTGTAAGGTGCTGTAGAAGTGTCAGCTACTGTAAACACCACGGATGACAAATCAGCCAGAGCAGCCCAGCGTAACTCAACACTGGGCGTAAAGCTGGTGTAACTAAACACCTGCTTGGTAGTTTGTGGTTGGATGAAAGACATAACTCAGCAGCAAAGCAAAGGCAGGTATAAAAGAAAAAGCAGATGTGTCCAAATAACACCAGGGGAAACTGAGGGGAAAGTCCTGAACAGTTGTTACGCTGTGTACCCTGACCAAGGACCAGACAGTACCAGTGTACGCAGCCCCGCTGTCAGAGTCCACCAGGATTTTCACCCATTTCTCTGCAGGTTCCACCGGCCCCTGCACAGCCTTGCGGCCCGGCAAAAGGCCCATCTGTATTGCAGCCTCCTCGTTATTTTTATTCCATCCCATTCCTGCCAACTCTCCCTCGGTCACACCTCCTGCACGGAAGCGTTTCCCCAGCCGCGTTACAGCCCTGTTCTGCCCCAGCCTTGCTCTGGCCCTCTGCTCCGCTCCCCAGGGGCAGGTTTATAGCCAGAGCCCACCCTGGGCTTTCGGCTCCCGCAGTATAAACTCACAACATCCACATGGCATGCTGTAACATGGTCAGTTTATACCGGTGTAACTGCAAAAACTGAGGTTTTTTTCCCAAAACACAGAAGATAAGAGACCTTTAAGCCATCCCTTTCCGAGACAAAACAGTGAGCATGACCAACTGTTGTTACATGCCCCACGGCTGATAACCAATGCCAAAACAAAGTTACTTTTATTAATACCAAAAAAGTGTCTTTAGAAATGCTATATGAAGTGTTACTATTTTGTGTTAATACTCTTTTTTTAATAGAAGGAAAACATCGCCCTGAAGTTTTTATCACAACAAGAATTTTTTTTTTAGTTTTTTTACAGCAGTTTCAACTCTTCCTGAAATACGTATTTGAATTCCTGAAATCACTTTGAATGTAGAAGTCATGGAAGTACCACTTCATTAAATCAAGTAAAACCACTGTATGTATGTAGCAGGGATAAATGTTTTGCAGCTGTACTTTCATTTGTCCAATGACTATCCACCATTTGTTGTAATTTTTTTACTTCACTGAGTTTGTATTTTTTGGCTTTTATGTTCAAAATATGTTTATAGCTTTATAAATAAAGTAATTGCCAGACTGGCTATTCAAAATAGGCCACTGGAAGTTATAATCCTACCAAACTCTCAAATAACTCTTTCTTAGAATTCAAGAGGATTCCTGCTTGCTTTTTTTTTTTCCCCTCCAGCATTTGTACATACATAGTTTTTAGAATAACTGCCCATAGTCTTCAAGGGGTAAAACAAATAGTAAACCAAGACTAAGAAATAACAGCTTCTACAATCCCTACTGACACCTTGCCTTCCCCCTCTCTACCCCCCACATTTAATCCTTTTGGCAAAGAGCAGCTACCCCTGACCCTGCCACTACTTTGGGAAAAAGAAAAAAAAAAAAAAGTTAAGGCAGCACTATACAAGTTAAACAGCAGGATAAAGTTTAACAGTGGGAAATCGGGCAGTCTCTCCCCCTTTCAAGAATTCCAAACCACGCAGCTGGTGTCTGTGACAGCAGCAGGCAACTCTCCAGTTCAGCTAAAGGGAATCCACACGCCACCGCACAGCACCCCCGAGCTGCCTCAGCACCTTCCTAAAGAGCAGCCTTCAGAGCCTGGCACTAACGTTACTGGAGGGGCTAAGACAAGTGAGAGGGTGCACCTCCAGAGATTAAAACAAGATGTGTTCTCATACCGATGTGCATGTCAGGCAGCTACAGAATTTGAATCTGGGTAAAGTCTGAGACAGGGGCATTTCAATTACAGAAAGTTGTACGGAATCCTGACTACCAGGCCTACAAAGAATATGAAACTCTGGCAAAGCTATGTAACCCTCTGGGCACCCAGATTAGCCCTTTCTCTCCTGCCTGCTGCTCTGCTCTACCTCCCCCGCAGCAGCAGCCAGCTGGCATGACCCTGCAGCTTCAGCAGAAGCTCCACCACCAAGGGTTGTATTTGACCACTAAGGGTTGTGTTTGAAGCAAACTGGTCTGATAATTAGCAAGTCTTACCCCAGGGTTCACAGGTGTGTTCTGTGCAGGTACAGCAAACAAAGTAGCAGAGTAATGAAGACAAACTATGTGTCTTTGTTCCTCATCCTACAGCAGTGAGGCAGCGGCTGCTGACAAACACAGATCCTGGTCTGATGACAAACACCTAAAGGAATTTATACAGGCTTCTACCACTGAACACAATTACAGTATGGGCCTCTAGATTAGCAACACAGCACTCCCAAGGATGAAACTAGTATATTCTGCGACACTAACCTCACATGCAGATGGATTTATTTCTTGTAATAATCCAGGATAAGCTGAATATTCAAATCTAGCAACTGAAAAAATTATCATCAGATTTTCTCTAGTAGCACTTTTAAACCGAGATGTATTGTTTGCAATACAGGATGCTGGAAAGGCTTCTTCACATTCAAGTCTAGCACTGGAGTATTTTATTCCCACTGACAATATCATATTTATAATATGCCCACCAGCACAAAGGCAGGCCCAGCCGCCTCATGAATCAGCAGATGAGCAGCAGCCGCATCCAAAGCATGGCTCTGAACACTGCTTCACAGCAAGTTCGGAATGCTTCCAATAACAGTTACATCAAAGCAAGGTTACCTAAAAGCTGGTAAGCCATCAAAAAAAAAAAAAAAAAATAGAAAGAAATCTGGATCGCCTGTTATTTAGCTTCCAACTTACGAGAAGCTGCCCACTACACCTGAACTAGTGCTTTGCATTAGTCATTTAACAAAATCTTTACATGTTTTATTTCAACTAACTACTGCCTCAGTGCTCTTTGTACACTCAGTACTAAGTGACAAAAAGATTGTCTAGTTTCAAATAACTAGAACCATCTACAAACAAAAGTTTAAAAGCCCTTTATTAATTCAGAAGTGAAACACTGATATTTAAAGTGAGATAAGTATGTTTATTAAGGTTCGTTCTACTCTAAGGTTTATACAGAGAATGGAATGCAATACAAGCTAAGAGCACACCTCAAAGATCTACCACACAACCATCCCCTACTCCCTATAAGGGAACTGTAAAAAAAAAAAAAAAAAAAATCAGAAAACCTGTTACTGCTTAACTAGTTGCAAGTGGCTTTATCCAAAGAAGTTAAGCTTGATATTGCATTAGCTTTATATGCAATAATTAAGTCTCTACAAGCTGAAGTATCACATACAGAGGCGTAAGATTTCCTGTGGACACGCAAAACCATGTTTTAAAGAGCTACATCACAAGAGTTGTTTAAAATTGCCTAAAAACCAGCCACTAATGGCATGCACAGGTCAATAATATTAACTTTGGTAATGTCAGTCATTTTTGGTCAAATCTGGATTCCACTTTTAACAGCAACATGTATAAAAACACACCCATCCTGTGCATAAAGCAACACACTTTTCATTTGCTACCAGCTAGAGGCAGGTCTTCAATACATGGTTAAAGTACTCAAATTCAGCTGTCAGGAGCTTGCTTAGTTCTAGATCACATCTTTCACTAGCCTGTAAAGGCAAGACTAACAGGACAAGAAAGTGGTCAAATATTTTTTCCTTTTTTTTTTTTTTTTTTTTTTTTTTTTTTTAAATGTAGGACAAGAACCATCTTGAAAGTTATATAGCTTTAAGTAACATTAATTTTCCCCACAATGTTTTTGGAAGAAATCCAGTAACTTTTTTTTGCTTTATCTAGTTCCCCAAGACATGTTCTAGTTTGTTTTTCTTTCTGAAGCTATCAATACCCTGTAAATACAAGTTCTGTTCTTCTTGAGAAAGAAGACACAGGTGTTTTTATTTACAATGGAGTCAATCCTTAGCATTGTAACTGGACTTGAACAGTTTAAAAGTGTAATGAAAATGATAACCTTAAGTGCTACTTCCCATACAGAATCCACACTTAGTTCAGTTTTATTCACTGCAGAGTAAAGTAAAAAGACATCCAATTACACTAGTAAAAACTCAGAAGATTTAAATTTGTACTCAAAAAACCACTACACATGCAAAGGGAACAATATCCTGCTAACACAACTTCATTTGCTGCTGCATTTGTCTAATATTAACAATTATGAACAGAGCAGTGCAACTAGTATTTGGAACAATCCTTACAGTGTTCGAGTGTCAGGCACAATACTTCACTTCTCTTCACACCACTGGTTCTCTTTACGTACCTGAAAGAGCATTTTAACTATCAATATGTTGCAGTGAACTTCTACAAGTTAGCTGTAAATTCCCAGAAGCATTCGGGATTACGTATTGCAAGAAGGCATGAACTTGGAAGCAGCTTTCCTTTTCCATGCAAGGTTTGTAATTAGAAGGTCAGTCTGCCAAACTGACCTGTTTATTGATATAAACCAAGAAATTTATCTCTCATGCCTAGATTTGAAAAGGATTTTCTTTTTCCCCCCCACCAAGTAAAGCAAATGGACTAGCTTAAGACTTAATTGCTCCTTCCATGACACAGCACCTACAACAAACTAAAGTATACAGTTCACTGCCTCTGTATTTAAAGAAAGCATTTTGCTCTGGTCTTTCCCAATGCTGCCATTTTGCAGTTGGTTTGTTGTTCAAGTACTAAGAGCCATGAGTTCATGACTTAAAAACAAGAATCCAAATGTCTTACCTTTCTAGCCACATGCAACAATAGGTCTTCAGCATTCTTACTATAACTCCAAAACAGCCAATTAAGGCTGCCACAAATAACCCCACATGCCTTCTTACCAGACACACATCTGAGCTAGGAAATCAATATGCTTTGTTTTGACTCTTTCAGGTTAAGGGGTTGCAAGCACTGTAGACACTGGAAGGTCTTCCACTAGTAGCAATCCAATTATGAGGAGTTGCTTCATTAGTTTACATTTATTGTTAACAAGCCAGTTGCCTCACACATTAGATTATGAAGCACCACACGACAATTCAGCACAAAAAGACCCAGCTAAATTATAATTAAACCCAGATCAAGTACCTGTGCTTCTTCCTCCTCGGTGAAGTCATTCTTAATATTGAATGTCTTGCGAATTTCTTCTGGAGTTTTCCCCTTGATCATGTTTGCAACTGTCTTGCATGTGACATCAAGCAAACCTTTGATGTCCAAGTAATTTGCAGCCTGTAAGAGTTTCCAAATTTAAAGTCTCCATATCAATATTCTGCCTCTGTAGATGTATTACCAAAGTTATGCTTTTACTGAAACTGGAGAATACTGTAACTGCAAACAGATCATCTCTACTTTGAGAAGCTTCTAGCTAGAACCTTGAAGTAACAGTAACTGAAACTTGCTTGCTAAACAGAAGGGAAAATAATTTGTACCATGAAAGACACACCCCCCTGCTCCTCCTTTTACAAAGAGCTTTCAGAAGCCTGCAAACATCTAAGATCTTCAGTTCTGAAGTGCTGTTAACTAGCTAAGACAAGTAATGTTGGCTCCCAGTACCATACAAGGTATAAATTTTAAAAGTCAAAGCTAGATTTTAATTTGTATGCAGATCTCTAGAACTCCATTTCTAGTAACAAGCCCTCATCTAAGGCTCAAGAGCCACAAAAATAGAGATGGCTGTAGGGTCCCATATTCAGAAAAGTATATAAATCAATGTGCAAGCGTAGATTAATGCCTAGAATTAGGTTAACGAGCATTCTCACATCAATCATTTCAGCCAATAGTTGCCAGAACCACTTGTCCTCCCCTTACCCCCCACCCCAATGAGTAAGTTATTCAAGAAGCATAAACAAGCACTGAAGAGCATGCTTCACAGGCAGAGCCTTTCCACTTCTCAAACATACTTACCAGGATAAGTTCAAAAAGTGTTCCTTGGTCTACTTTCAGAAACTCTTGATCCCACACAGGGATGTCATCTGTTCTTTTTTCTTTGTTCTCATCATCCTCAGGAGGAGGTGGATCATCCTTGTGATGGGTGCACCACTGAATCACCTAATTATAGTTTTGATATTACAGTTTTATCCAAATGCTTCTCCCATTGGGTCCTGGCTATAACTTAACTTCGTTTTAGAAGAACTGTACCTTTTTCTCTAAATTAACATTAGAATCCTGTATGAACATTCTCCATTATCTAATATTTTCATCTTAGAACAAGTGATCCCGAATCCTTCAAGAATTCCATCTAGTAGCTAGTTAATCACTTACCATCTTCAGAGCCAGCTGCTGGAGTTACATCGTTATTAAACCCTGTCCTTACACACGTAAAACTGTACAAAGGAAGCCTAAACCTCATTTTGCGGCGTTTAATCTGTTTGCAGAAACACAACTCTTATTAAGCAGAATACCACACAGGGGAAGAGTGTACAGCCATAATAGCTACCAGCAGGACATGTTCACCACAGCACAAAGTTCACCTGGCAAAAGTTTGCATGTTCCCAGGCTTGCTTTATTTTATTAAAAAAAAAAAAAAAAAAAAAAAAAAAAAAAAAAACAACAGAAAAACACCATCTCATCACCCAGACAATTAAGAATCTACTGCAAGTAAAATCCTGTTCCATTTTGCCAACTCGAGAGACTTCACAAGTTTGAAGTTATTTATGTGTCTGTTCACTAGGAAATAACTCCTAACCCTGTATTTACCCCAAAACACTCCAGTGATTATTTTGGCACACCACCTTCTCCTTCAGAGCAAAAAGCATCTTAGAAGACAGCAACATGCTTTTTTGCTTTTCTCACTTAACCCAACAACAATCATGATCTATTACTGAATTTAATGCCACTGAGTGCACACAGTCTCTCAAGTACTGTAACCACCAGGCACGGCTACTATCAGACACTGTCTGTCCCTTAATTCTTTCTCCTAACGTTTGAATCTCCAACAGCCACCTCAGTCCACAGAATCAAATTAAAACCAGTGCTTTAATACCATGAAATACTAGTGTGCACAGATGTCCAGCACCACTTCCAACACCTTCGGAAGCCTATTTGGCCTCCAGCTGCTGTTCCAGGTCACCCCTGTAGATGATCTGCCATTATCTGCCTGCCAGCCTCACCCCGGTTCTCAGAGCCCCCAGAAGCCTGTGTTCAAGCACCTCAAATCAGTTAAGCTTGTAGCTAGCACAGGAAAAGTATTTTTATTACAATAGTTCATAATACCCAACTTCAGCATGAATTTCACATTTCAATACTGCCATACAACACTACCACTTTCAGTATCTTACCTTTTTTAAGATAGCTGCATTAACATTTGGAAGAGGGACTGGGTCATCGTCACCTTCATCATCCATTCCCAAATCTGAAAAAGGAAAGATGACTAAGCAATTGGCAGGCAAAACCATTTTCTCTTCTCTGAACTGGGCCGCTTCATCAATTCTCCACTATTTTAACACCAAGGCTGAGTGGATTGGTAGCAAAGGATCTCTAACTGGTGAAGTCAGGAGCTTTCAGAAAGCTTTAATGAGGCTTTGTGGAGGCATTGCTGCATTATACATACAAGGTCATACCAAGCTTGGGCAGAGTAGTTAATAAGGCTACCTCATCAAATGAGAGCATCTACAAACCATTGGTTAAGCAGTCAGGTACTTGTTAGAGCAGAACTCGCTAGTTGAGTGTTCTGGAAATAGGATATGTTGAAGACTCAGACAAATATTTATGTATTTTTACCACTTTCAACATTCAATCCACAAGTTAAACCAAAATGTTCCAACCAAGATCTCCCATTCCATTTATTATTTAATAAATAAATAGAGATCTACTGTGGTAAGTCGAGACAATGTTTCGTGCTCTATAGGAGCAGTAAATATTGTAGCTGTAGAGATGCAAGCCTCAAGCACCTGTACCAATTCTTACCAGCTGAAGAAGTCTGCATGCTAAGACAGCAGCACAAATCATTCCATCAAAAAAGCATTTATAAAGCACGCTTCTGATACTCCTTGCTTTAAAAGCTTGTCAGCAAGCTCAAGACAGATTTGGATAAAGTTTGTCACTCTGATCTCTTCACCATGTCAAGGGGACAAAGTAAAAATTGAGAGAAAAAGGTAATTAAAATTTGGACTTGATACACAGAACATTAGCCATCTTTGATTAGAGAATATGCCTTTTTTTTATTACACAAATGCTAACAGTTGGATGACATCCTAGCTGTCAAAGATTAGCATCTTGCAATTAGCTATGTAATTGAGTAACTACACAGACCTGCATTCATTATGCACAGATGAGCCAACTTGACATCACCAAGGAACTTAAATTAAGAACAGATGACTGTCACACCATTATCACTGATCAAATTTGTGCATGATTAAAATAACATGTACTTCTGTATTTAGGCAAGTCAACTACTGTTATTGTGAGTGGGATATTAATTAGTACTACTTTTTGTTCAGAATAACTAACTTCACAGATGCAGAAACTAAAATACTGTGTTAAAGGGCACTGCATGTGTGACCAATTACTGCAACCTTCGAATGCATACTTTGAACATGGTGGCAGATACTTATGCAAGAAGCATCCAGTCCAAAGTTGATGGTATGGGGAAATAATTCAAGCGATTCCACAATGTTGGTCAATTCTGCTCAACTTGTCCTCACCACCTCCAAAACAGCAATTTCACCTCTAATCAGAAAATTGGTATTTCATTGGTGGTCTCACGATGCTCAACACAAGCCCACCTTTCATCTGCAGCACCCAACACACAAAACATTGTTTCTTAACTGATGCTTAACCAGCTGTACTACAAATGCATTTCATCTGTACTAGGGGACTGGTTCTTACCCAGATTAGCAAGAGGTTAGTTTATGGTGCCTAGCTTACAACACATACCATGTGTAACACTTCCCTTTCATCAACTCCTGCGTGTCACCCAACACCAGCAGTGACACAGCTTCTGCATGAGAAAACTGAGAACTGTGCTCCCTAACATGTTCTAACCAATTGCTACGTTTCCTGCTCATGTTGCAAGTCATGTTCAACAGCATCTTATTAACAGAACAAAAGTGTTCAATGGTTGGAGTACTTCAGTCTTATTTTTATTGTTCTTATGTATAAGGTGTCACAACCAAAGATTTATACCCAAGAACATAATCTTAGCTACATCTATAGAAAGATTGTTTCTTTTTTTTTCCCGAAATTAATTCATGAATACACCCAAAACTGGAAAAAAAACACCAGTAAACAATGGGGATTTGCACTAGTGGGATTAGACAGTTTGCTCTGTACCCTAGCCATCTGGCAGATTTCCCCTCCCCCGCCACGAGTTCTTTTGTTTCAAATTTATGTCAGCAGGAGATCAGAACTAAGTATTTATCCCAAATAATTTAACTGCATCCACAAGCTCACAATATAGGTTTCACTTTAGCTCTTTCTTCACTGCACTGGTTTATGATCTCCAACCCCATTTAAAAGATATTTACATTATGAAACCAGTTTGTATGACTAAATAAACTTAGTTTTTAATATTATTAGATGTTCCATTTGCTTAACTTTTACAAAACTGAAGTATGCTGTAGGCAAGACAGTGGGGTGCTCATATTTTACTAGCCTCCTGTAAGTACCTTTAACAAGAGGACTGAACTAAACTTTTTGCAAGAGCACATCCACCCAAAACAGTTTCAGCTACAACAGCAATTGTTCCAGTTGCTGTGACACAAGACAACAAGCTGCTTCATAGGCCTGGGAATCCTTCATCAGCATAGCACAGCACCAGTTCGCCTCCTTCGGTCACAATTTCTGTTCAAGAGGCTTCCTTGAATACATTACTGTGCATGAGCTAGTGATCCTCAACGCTTCATACTCTTACCTTCCAGCATAGTCTTTATAGTTACAGACTGTTTTGCAATTTCAACATCAACTTCAAAGATTTCTCCATCTGAACTCTGCAGTTTAATTGAAGGCATCTACAAGAGAAGGACAGTTATTTCCACACAATATTCAGCAGATATTATAAGTTTAGCTAACACAAAGATGTACGTTACCTTTACTATTTATATTGTTTCTTACCAACAGCAGGCAGCCCAGTGCCACTTAAAGCATGCTCAGATTATTCACTGCTTGAACCAATAGGCCTGAATTCATTAATCCTCGTGCTTAAGAAACATGGATTGATAGAAGCCTAACAACAGGAGAACTTTTTTCTTCATTTGGAAGCATAAAATACACAAAATTTGTTAGTCAATAGTGCTTATATTGTGTACAGTCCAACACTAAAGCTATCTTTCTCTTGAATTAGCTGTCAACAACACTTCCAAAACACTACTTTTCTTCAAACAATCGCTACTCACTTTGACTACTCAAATGAAGTCAGATCTCAAAAGCAGTTTTCAAATGATAGCCTCTGGAACAGAATCACAAAACTGAGGTTGGAAGGAACCCCTCTAGACAGAGTCTAGTCCAGCCTCCCTTGCTCTGAACAGAGTCAAACAGACCAGGTTACTCAGGATCGAAGGCTTTCCTTCAGGAAAGTGTTCGGTTTTCTGAAGAGACCGGAAAGCAATATACCACTACAAGGAAAGCTTTCAGCACTCAATACTACGATCACTAAGTAAGTTAGATCGGCACTTTGGTGGCATTAGGAAAGACTAAGATGACTATGCATTTTAACAAAGTTTTTCAAACAAACTGTAATAAGGCCTAAAATAAACAGAAGCAGCAGACTTCAGAGATGCCGCTAACAGAAAAATAAAACTCTACAGTAACGCACCTTTCCAGATATTTAACAACTCAAACACAGAAGTAATGCATTTGGTACAGCAGCCAGTAGGTTACAACTTCTGCCTGAAGCTGCACATGAAGTCTGTTTGGGTATCACTGCACTTGAACCAGCTGACTTCAAGGACATGATAAACCTAACTGCCTGGCCACATACACTTTATAAATCAGCTCTCAACAAGCTAGTAGGATGCGTTACAAGTTCTTTTACCACTCAAAATACTCGTTAGCAGACGATCATTGCAAGAGTTTCATTTTTTTTTTCACCTAAAGTTACCTGCTTAAAGATCTCTAAAAGCACGTATTTGTAAATACAGCTTGCAGGGCACTGTAAGAAAATCTCCAGAAGCAAAGAATTAAAGAATTTCAAATTAATTTCAATTACTTTTCAAATGTTCTTCCCCCATCAAACCTAAGAGCTATACCTGCTAGTTCCTTACAATAGTACTGGAACTACCAAAATTGAATTAGCTGGACCACTTTCAGCAACCTTCCTTTATCCCTTTCTGAACACCTCCTGTAGCTCATCAGTATGGCTGAGCCTGACAGCACTGCAACAAACCCAGGCCAGGGGAGGCCAGCCAAAGCACATTATTAAGCAGCTCACACCAGCTTGAAGGCCTCATTGCTTTAATTTCCATTTGGCAGAGTGAGTAGCTAGTTAATGTTTACACAGTACTGTAACCCTATATGACAGTGCTCCTTCTAATTAAGATGGGTGTTCTGGACAGATGCAGTCATGATTGTTCCAAAGATACAAATATATATATATGCTTATCTACAGAAATAAAATTTGGATTAAAACACAGGTCTGAGTTGGTAGCTTGAACAATGTACTGAAAAAATAAAATTATCTAGGCATACATTTCAGATTTAATGCATCTGTTCTTGCAGTGATTGTCTGAAAGCACTCAAGAACAAACCCAGCTTCAGATGCCAGCCTTCCTGTGCTTGTGTCTAGGATTACATAATGCTGCACAAGGGAGCCAGCACAACAGGGATGCTGCCTTAGCAAGTCCAGCCCCTGCTGGAATATTTGCATTGAGATTCATGTATCACCCAAACCCACTTTTATCAAGACCTTTAGGTCATTGCTAAGTGTTTGAATCAGGTAGAATGAAGTTAATCTGCTGCCTTATCACTGAAAATAAATCAGGATTTCATCCCAATTTTGTTATTTTTATACTACAGAGCTCAGTCTCCTGGAAGAAGGAAAAAAAAAAAAAAAGAAACAAGTCATTTTTAGCAAACTGCAATACAGCTCTGGAAACCAACAGGCCTTGGATAGCAACACAACTGGGTGACTAAGCAGAGCAGTCCACAAAGCTCTAATCTACAATAGCAAAACAGGTTGGGATCTAGTCAAAAGACAAACCTGAATTACAACGGTAATTTGCATGTGCGAGCCTGAAACGCAGAGCTCAGTCACCGAAAGCTGCGCTACCGGGCCGCTCCGCGCCTCCCCGAGCTATTCCAGGATGCCCGCTCCTTCCCCCGCTGTTTCTCCGGGTCGTCGGGTGTAAACGCTGCGTTTGTTCCATAAACTCACACCTGAGCCCTTCCGCTTGCGCTGCCGCTCCAGATCTCCCCGGGGGGTGCCCCGGAGCACCCTGACAACCGCCCCGCTGAAGGGGGGAGGGGAGGGCCGGCTTCACCGGTGCTGCGCGGCCCGCGACGAGGGCTGCGCCTCCGCTTTATTTACCAGACACCCCCACTCCTCCCTCCCCCAGCACCCACGGGTGTTTAAGCCCCGCATCGCCCACGAAAGGGCTCGGACCTCGGCCCACCCAAGCCCCCACCCCCCCCAGCGGCCTTCCCAGACCGCGGCCCCTCTGCCCGCGCCAGGCCGGGCCCCGCTTCCCCCAACCGAGCGGGCCCCGCGGACCGGACCTGCCCCCGCCCCGCCGGTACACCGGCAAGCCCCCAGAGCTCACAGGCCTCACCGTGAGGAGGAAAAGGAGGAGGGGGGGGGAGGAGGCGGCGTCCGTCCAGGCGCTGACGGGACCTGGCGGCGGCGGCGCTCGGGGCCCACCTGCGGCGGCGGCTTTATAGGGGCGGGGGAAGGACCCGCCTCCCGCTGCCTCGCAACCGCCGGGGCTGCCCGCCGTGACCGCCTGCGCGAAACACCCCGCTCTGCCTCCCGAACGGCGGCAGAGCGCGGCTGACGGTAAAAAGAACCGGATCTGCGCCGCTCCCCGCGGGGTGGGGGGGAAAGCGGAGCTGAAATGGGGTGGGGAAACGAAGCGGCGGCTGTCGGGTCTTTCAGGCAGCGGGGGAGCGCGCCGGGAGCCTCACAATGGGCGGGAGCGCCTCTCCGCCGCCCCCATGAGGGGAGAGCGGCGAGCGGGCGGGGGCGTAATTCGGGATTAAACCGGACTCGTCGCAAAAAGCCCGCGTTGGGTGTTTTCCTAATAGCGGGGGTTTCACGGGGAGAAAGCGAGGAGAATTTAAAGCGGGGAGTGGGGTGAGGCGGCTTCGGGTTGTGTTGGCGTCTCGCGTGTAAAGACAGTGGAACCCGATCTCCGGTGGTTGCTCGGGCAGGAGGAAACATTTTAACAACAAAAAATACGCTGAAAAATACTCATTTCAAATTGTGACGGCAAAGGGTTACTTTCCTCAGGTGGCGATACAGCTGAGGACAGCTGAGTGCTAGAAATGGATTTGGGCTTAACAAGCACATCACTGAACACTCGCCCCGGATCCCACCAGGAATTTCCTGCAGCTGCAGCTCAGCCCAGGGCCCGTTAAAGCATCTCCAGACACCCAACTGGGCGAGGAGCCACCGAAAAGCAGCCAAAGCGGTGCTGTGGTAGCACAACCACCCCCTGAGCGCTGTACCTCAGCATGGGTAACAGCTCCTGAAAGGTCGAGAATCTGTGCGTTATTTTTCCAGAGAGATCCGAAGGGTTTTGCTCAATGAGGAAGGCAGAGCAGGGTATGAGTCCACCAAAGTCACCCTGAGGTGCCCGGGCGCTGTGTTGTTGAGATCAGTTTTGCATCTCTCCCTGGCAAAGTGGTTTTGAAGTAGGTAAGATACTTACATAGTGACAAGCCATATTTGTGGCAATTCGCTTTACTTCCAATCTCAATTCAAAATGTTCTTAGCACTGGAGTGTGTTTTCCACAGCACTTCAGGGCAGATGTAGCCAGGCTACCCGTAAGCAGACTGGTACCTGCACCACCATTGCACTAGTACAGCATAAGTCACAGCTTTCCCTTTCCTCAATCCCATACACCTTATTGAACAAATGACAGTCATACCCTCCAGAAAAATATATTCTAACATAAAGAATATTCCTGAGAATCAGAACTTCTCAGTTCAGAAGCTTGCTTTGCTCATTCCAGAGCCCACAGCCCCGGACAGTAGCCTAGCCACAGAGGTACCAAGTCTTCTTTCCTTAGTTTTCTGCCTCAGTGACATAACCAGTGAGACCACAAATGTTAGAAATATTTAATGTTAAATTGTTGGTTAGGGCTGACTCTACAGAGAAATAGAAGACTCAAATACAGACTCTCAGCCAGAAAGAACCTCCTAGAACTCGAGTGAGGCTGTTCTATGTCAGGTCCTATCACTTAAATAGGTTGCTAGATAAATTCCAAAGAACTGTTGGAGACGACAGCCCGACTTGGGAATCTTGTTTCATAGGCTTCAGGATGCCGAGCAGCTCATTAGTAACAGCGCACTTGAAGATGACCCTGAGCAACCTGCTCTGACTTTGAAGATGGATCAAAATTCAGAGTGTGGTCTGGAGGACCCTTGGTGATGCCTTCCAGCCTGAATTACTGTGAGTTCAGGAACCTGTGCTTCAGGGGAACTCTTCATGCTCAGCAAGCATCCAAAGATGTCAGGTGATGCTTATACAGCAGACTTTGATGCTAACAGAGGTTCCTCGAAGATGCTGGTATTAGTAACCAGGCAAGCTGTTTGTTCACCATTTATCAGGATCTACCTATATTATATATATATATATATATATATATATCACATATAGATGTGTGAGGCCTCCAAACTATGCCTAATCTGACCTTTTGATCGTGCCATCATCACATTTACCTCTTTCCTCCTCGACCACTCCATCTTGTACTCCAACACTGAGAACCACAGACACTGCACTAAAAAAAGAAATAACGCTGCCTTTATTTTCCTTATTTTTTTTTATTGTTGATATTAAAAAAATTTGGTTTAGAGGATCAAACGATGACAGGAGATGGTCTGTGGAAAATATATCTGCAAATCCTAAATCCCCCTTCCCGATGTTGACAAAATGAAGGTTTCTGATTTGGCTGGTGATCAGCGAGCACAAGCTCTGAGACTGCAAATCAGGCTCAGCAGAGGGGGGATGGGGTTTGCTCTCTACACAAGACAAATTAATAAAATCCAGGAACAGGCAGAAAGCTAAATTCCATGCTTAAATATGATCTGTGTATGAATTTAATTCCAAGTGATATTATTGATGAGCTTTATACTTGATACAGTTGTCTACAGCTTTCTAAAGGAGAAAATTCAGTCCACACTGGACTTTGAATTTGGCTGTTGAATTGCAAGTCTGGGAAAGTTACAACAACAAAAACACCCCACGCCCAAAAAAAGTGGCAGATGGCTGTCACAGATACACTATAATCACCCAACGGCCACCTCCCACTGTGCCCTACATATCGTACAATGAACCTCCCCAGCTAGTCCAGATGCTTTCTGTTATCTGTGGTGAAAAAGCAGCTGCTGTGGCGTAGATAGCCAAAGTCCTGCGAGTAAGTCAGTATTAATAACACAAAAGATCCATCCTTCGCTAAAGCTGCAAGGGAAAGAACAAGATTTTTCCAAAAAATGGGTGGCCCAATTTCAGTTGTTACGCCCATAGGTAATCATTGCGATGCAAATAATTCTAAACCTAAGCATTGCCACCCTGAGCTGCGAAGATAATGGCACCGTGTACCAGCCACAGATAAATTACAATTAAGGGCCTTTTACCACTGAGAACCCAGAGGAGGAGGGAGAAAGCTGAACGCTAAAGCAAATACCTGATAAAAGATTGGAGCAATCAAAATCAGTGCAAGCTTGATTTAACGCTTACCAGATCCAGAAGAGCTCTGACCTACATACTCACAGCATCCCGGGGGCTGGGGGCGAGGCCAGCTGAGCCGTGCTGTGGGGGGAAGGGGACTTTAACACGCCAAACGCGAGGGAGCAGCCTCCCGGACACAGCACTGCATCTGCTCCATCCACAACCCCCGATTCTCTTCCTGGCAATTTCTCCCAAATCACCGTACCCTCCCTCCCACCCTTCAAAACACCTCACATTCTCCGCTTTTACAGATAAAGTGGTTTGAGGATTTTTTTTTGCTGCTAGTGGCAGTTTAGAGACTATGGAGATAGCACACTGCTTGAGTATTTTTCAATATCACCATGATGTGAGATTGTCAAAGCCTAACGAGAGCTCAGCTTTGCTCCTTTAACAAGTTGAGAAACTTCACTAACTCAGCCTGGAGTCCTGGAGCCGCAGGGATGGGGGGCTGGCAAGGGCTGGACTTGAGGGTCCCAAGAGCACAGCTGCTCTAGCAGAGAACCAGGTATGATTTGCTGGAACAGGGACCTAATCTACATGTAGGGGAGAATGAGACTTGCTGCAAAAATCCTTTTTTTTTTTTTTTTTTTTTTTTTTTTTGTCAGGAATACAAAAGATTGGGAACATTTTTTTTAAAACGGCCACATCAACAAATTAAAAAAAAAAAAATTGGACTGGTTCAGTGTAAAACCAGAAAGCATCAGAATTACTCATGGGAAATAAGTGGTAGAAAAACATTGCTGAGCTCGAAAGCCAGTGCCACTGTTGTTTAAAGCAATCTTGCAACAACGCAGCAGATGAGGAGGAAAATTCTAGTTCTCAGTACAACTCTGGAAAAAGCTAATTATTGCAGTTCCACTTCATGAAAGCTTGCATTACAGGAGCACCCTTGAGGAGGCGTTATCATCCAAGCTGTACCTCAGCAATGCAAGAGGGTGGATGGCAGAGCCCACCCTCTGGATGAGAGTCCAATTAACCCCAACAGACTGACAAAACTGAGTAACCCAATCCTGCCAAGCAGACACCAACTCTCCTTTTTTTTTTTTTTTTTTTTTTTTTTTAAAATCAGCTTCTGTTTCTTCCTCTAACACCATTCATGTTCCCCTTATATAACTACAGGGATTCAAGATAGTCTAGAATACCAAAGATGGGCAGGGGGGAAGATGAAAAATGGAAACACACCTACCTCAAGTGTGTTTGCAGCTTCTACTTCCTAACCTCATCCTTGCACCCCTGAACAGGCCTGGGCTGTACTGGCCGTGCCCTCGCACCCTCTGACGCCGCTCAGGGCCAAGCTCGGCTCCCGGGGCTGTGCTGAGGATGCTGCTGCCAGCTGAGAGTCCCCCAGCACGTTACAGAGAGCGTGTACCGGAGCCTTGGCGGGGGCCACGCGTGGGACGGTGCCGCTCCGAGGGACGGAGGTGCCGGGGGGCAGGCGGCAAGGCTCCTCCATCCCCAGGAGATGCGCTCGTATGTATCCCGTGAGCTGAATGAAAAAGGGCAAGCTGGCTCTGAGCGGTCTTAAGAACGACTTGAAGTGGCAATGTATAAAAAGGTGACTAGCCTCGATAGCCAAGCGTGGGAGCAAGTGAGCTGTTAAAGGGTTACACGGCACCGGTCTTCAACCCCAGAGCTGTTCAAAGTCCAAAAAGCAGATTCTGGGCTGGTTCTGACACCACAGACAATAAAGACCAGGCGCTTTGAGGTTTCAAAGTCTATGGGAATCAACAGAGTGTGTTTCAGAAGTCAAGCTAATTCAAAGCTTTTTAAAAAGAGATTGCAGGGGAAAAGGAACAGTCCGGTGCCCTTTTGGGGTGGCTGAGGTAAAGCTGGATAAACTCACAACCAGACACAACACAGAACCCATCACCAGCCTTTCTCTGAGAGGGGGAAGAAAGGAGAACAGGCGCCCAGGGAGCTGCAGCACCCCCTCTCCCAGGCAGGGGTCCCCACATTAGCAGCCTCAGGCTGTGTCCCTCCTCCCGGAGGACAGACACAGTGGGGGAAGAGGA